GACTGGTACATTTGAAACAGGAAAAAACTGAATTTTGTGCAAAAGTTCATTTATTTCCATAACTGAACTTAAAAGGTGAAACTAATATCTGAGACAGAGTCATTATACATAAAACCATATATAAGTGTGATGATTATGCTTACAGCTGATAAAAATATGATATTCATGATCTCAGACAATTAGAATATAAAGGTTCAGTATTCTAGACTCTAAGGCCTAGTCCACACGTAGCCGGGTTTTTTAAAAACGAATATCCGCCCCTCCAAAAACTTGCATCCACACCACCTCATTTAAAAAAAAATTCTGTCCACACGTACCCGGATAAATACGTGGTTAAGGACATGCCAGACCTGTAGGCGGCAGTACTTCCCCCGTTCTTAACCTCGTCCTTCGTCTGTGGTCTTCCGCAAGGAGCAGTAATTCCGCTTGCAAAAACAAACAAGCAAAAAGCGCTTGGACAATTGATAAAGCGAGCGCAGCTCTGAAGGCTTCCATGATGCCGGCTAGTGTAAACACAGGTCGCACACGTGATGTCAGCATTTTTTTGTCGCGGAAAGTGACGTTGCAGACATTAAAACTCCGGTTTTGTCCGTCCACACGCAGACACCCAAAACGGAGAAAACGCAGATCTTCACTTTGGCCGGAGTTTTTAAAAAGATCCGTTTTCGTGTGGATGACAGGCCAAAACGTAGGAAAATATCTACGTTTTGGCAGATCCCCGGCTACGTGTGGACAGGGCCCAAGTGTCACACTCTAATCAGCTAATGAATCCAGAACACCTGCTAAGGGTTCCTGAGCCTTTAGATCAGGGGTGTCAAACTCAAACTCACAAGGGGCCGAAATGAAACTCTGGGACGGAGTCAAGGGCCAAACTTAATATTTTTGAAAAAGTGACGGCAAATTTGCACATTTTCTTTATCAACATGCAATTTTGAACCTTTAAATTTGGAAACAAACATATTTCTGCATTAACACTGAATGTGGAATAACCAAATTACACACGAGCAAGTCAGTTTTAAATAAAAGGCATCAGTGGTATTCATTACTTGTGGTATAATCAGTATTTTTAAAATCTTTAAAATCTTTAAATCTTTTCTCACGGGCCAACAACAAAATAAAGATATAATTTTATCTTAAATGAAAATGCAACATCTCACCTGTTAACTTTCATGTTTTGGAGCAGAAAAAGAGCAGAAAACCAACATATTTAAAGCTCAGTGTGCTCCACTGGTTTACTGTGATGCTCACCTGTTCCAGCCAGATACCTGCATCATGGGGCTGATCTGAGCTGAGGAGGAGACTCCTGTTGTTTTGTTCATCTTCATCATAATAATGACAACATTAGATGACAACAGGTGCTCACATAGGTTTGTGCTGATGAACATGTCTGAGCAGCTTGACCACGTTGTTGTGTGTCGGGGAGGAAACACAACCACAGCGACCACAGAGTCGTGCTGGTTTGAGCGTGTCGCTGCTCGCTGGAGTTATATCAGCTCTGTCTGGACGTTAGTTTGAAAACTTTCTCTTTAAGTCGTGAACACATCACTGAGCGGCTAGAATCTCCGTTTCTGGGCTTCAACGTCAGAAAATAGCTGAGTGAACTCAGCGCTGAGTGAGAGGAGTGTTTAGTTTGTCCGAGACAGCGGAGCTGCAGACACCGGCAGCAGGCGCTGGGAAAAACACAAAGGAGGGGGCGCGTCGGCTCCGCGCTAACACCGCAAAGCATCATGGGAGTTGAAGTCTTTGCGGTAAAATCGGCCAGCGGGCCAGTTTTAATATATTTTTGATATTTATCTCGCGGGCCACATAAAAATGCTCCGCGGGCCAGATGCGGCCCGCGGGCCTTGACACTGACATATGTGCTTTAGATGGTCTCTCAGTTTAAGATGGATTACTGACATAAATTAACTTTTGCACCAGAATCTCATTGTTTGAGTTCCACTTGTAACTCCCAGACAATGAAAAAATACTTTAGTGTCTCTTAATCATTGGATGATTTAGCATCTTTTGAAATTGGACATGCCTACTTCCGCCTAACTAGGTTTTTGGTTTCTTATTCCTTTCTCAGCTTTTTCCCTTCAGAGGTCTCCGCAGCCAATCACCTGTCTCCATTTAGTCCTATCTATGTCATCATTGACTCTCCTCTGGGCATGTCCAAACCATCTCAATCTGTCCTCTCTGATGTTATCTCCATAACATCTAACATGAGCAGTCCCTCTGGTGGACTCATTCCTGATCCTATCCATCCCCGTCACTCCCAACATCAGGAGCTCTGCAGCCTTCCACTGATTCTGTTGCTTTGGACCGTGTAGACCAAAAGTCCTCTACCTTCTTCCTACTCCCTGTAACATCACCCTTCCACTTGCGTCCCTCTCAACACCAGTATCTCATCAACACCAGTGGCAGTCGTTATTCTCTGCCTCCACCAATCCGGGATGAAACCCGTTTATGATTTGGATCAGGTTTTAAACTTGGGACATGAGCTATAGATTCATTGAGAAAAAAAATGTGGAAAAACGTGGAAGAATTTAAAAAATTGTGCAGGTTGAAACGAAACGTCATAGTGCTACCTAGTTAATTGCTTTTTCCACAAGTATAATTAACGTGTCAAGACTTTAGAACCCAATAAAGGATAAGATGAACTTTGGTGATAGGGGGCGCTATAGGGTCCAAAAGTTTATATCCACAGAACGGATAGATGAATTTACACAAAACTTGGTCCTGATGTCAATAACTACCCCCTGAGGCTATATTTTGATTAAAAAGTGGGTATGGCTTAAAAGATATATCCTATTTGACCTTTGACCTCATGGAATAAAAAATTCTGTCTATTTTAAGACTGATCCAAAACTAGCAGGCGCTGTAAAAAGAAAAATGTTGTAAAAGGCCTGTATTTTATATAGCACAGGGATGTCAAATATACGGCCCACGGGCCGGATCCGGCCCGCAAACGGGTTAAATCCGGCCCACAGGATGGTTGTGTAAACTTTATTTTCATACTTTACAATGTAGAGTGAAAATAAACTTATCTTTGTGAGCAAGTTTTCTCTGTAATGAGTATAAATAAAACAAAGCTGCGCTCAAGGCTCACACAAGAACTTGAGTCACATCCTGAAGTTGGCCGCCACTCAGGATGTGACTTCTGATGTTGATGTGCTGGTGAAAGCTAAAAGATGTAAAGTAAAATGAGTCAAATATACTTTAAGTGCTGCATGAAACTGATCTAGCCATGTGATCTGTAAGCTCTTTGAATCACTAAGGAATGTTTTTTTATTTATTTATTTTTTATTCAAATTTTCAAGTACACTTCAGGTGTTGTACTTGTACTATTTTGGATACACTGTCCTCAGGCTCCAGCCTTGTTTTATATTGATTGTATTAAAACAAAGAAAACAATCTGAAGTTGTTTTTAATTTACTGGTCCGGCCCACTTGAGACTAGATTTCCCTCAATGTGGCCCTTGAGCTAAAATGAGTTTGACACCCCTGATATAGCGCCTTCTAGAGTCCTGGAACCCCCCAAGGCGCTTAACAACACAATCAGTCATTCACCCATTCACACACACATTCACACCCTGGTGGTGATGAGCTACGATGTAGCTACAGCTGCCCTGGGGCGCACTGACAGAGGTGAATCTACCGTACACAGCGCCACCGGTCCCTCCAACCACCACCAGTGGGCAAGGGGGGGTTACCCCCAAATTCCACTACCTCCGCTCCGGTCCGCCCCCGCCTTCCGCAGCCGCTCGCTTCCGAACTCAATTTTTACTGGTACCCGCTCTACAACGGCTCCGCTCCGGTGCGGAGACCTGAGGTGGGCAAACAAGCATGCGCGGGATTTTCGAGATCTTGCGATACAGTCCGAGCAATAAACGCAGAAGTTAGATCCAAACACCCGTTGTGTGGGAGAAGCATCGAAATGAACTGTTTAATCTGCCCATCATTTGTGTTGAGAGATCAGCAGTGTTTGGATCAACAAAGTGTGACTACTTTGATAGTGGAAACTGTATTTATGGCTTACTTTTGTGCATTTAAACTTCAGCCGCCATTGATAGTTGTTAAAAGTTGTTAAACCTGTGCATATGAAACAAAAAACGCCCTTTGTTTATCGATTTATTGTGAAAAACGGAAGTTGTGCTTGCTCCTTTTCCTGTTGGGCCGTTGTGATTCCTGTCCATTGACTGTGGAGGTGCTCCGGCGTCCGGCAAAAATAGGATCGATTCTATTTTTGCCGGACGCCGGAACAGAGGGTGGCGCACTGCGCCGCACTGCCGGAGCACGGCCGCAGTAGTGGAATAGCTCTGATTGACTACAACGGGACCGATTTTGCTCCAGAGTTCGTGCCGGAGCGGAGCGGAGGTAGTGGAATTTGGGGGTTAAGCGTCTTGCCCAAGGACACAGCAACAGACTGAATGGGGCTCGAACCAGCAACCTTCCGATTACAGGGCGAGCACTTAACTCCTGTGCCACCGTCTCTCTGTAATGTAGTGTCAAATTGGCAGAGTGTAAGTTCATGAAAGTTGGAGGGTATCTTCAAGGTACGACACTAAATTATCAATGTGGTAATGATCAGAGCGACATCTATAAAGCCACAAAACGGATCCGTGTGTGTCCTGCTTTCCTCCGTCACCACTACAAGCACAGCTTCCAATTGAGAACCAGTTTATTTGTTAATTAAAAGCATAATTGGGAAATAATATTAGGAAAAATGTGTTTAGCTGTTCCCCAGCTAGAGGTGTGTGTTCAATAACAAGAGGCGTTGTTTCCAACAGTAATCACAGAAGTAGGGGGAGGGGCTTATGGTGCGATTAATGTTTCCACCTCTAGATGGTGCCCTCTGTGAAAAAAACCTGGACTTCCGCATTAAACGTGTTTTTTAACAATGTCGAAGCATGACTTTATGAAGTGGTTGTGATTGTCTTGTGAATAATTTGGGCACAAATCAGTTCTAGCTCTGTGTTTACTGATCCAGAGTTTTGGTGAGCTCAGGCTGCAGCTTACCTTCATGCACAGTCACCCCACAGTTGTCACACTGGATAATCTCATCTGCATCCTCACTGTTGTCTCCCAAGCAAACGCAGCAGATCAGGATGTGCTGAGTGTTCCAAGTCTGAGAGCGGTCGAGCAAAGCATCCTGGGAAATCAGAATAAAGTTAAGCTGCTTGAAGGTGTTGACTGTTCTGGCCACAGAACCACTGACGGCACAAAGTCGATTCTGTAAACACACCTAGAGCATGTTGGGCAGATGATAAACAAGCTGAAGCATTCCTCTTTAATCATCTCAGTAACAATCACATTCCTAACACCCCACCAGACTTTATGCTGACTTTGTAGCTTATGGTTTAGTTTATAGGTCAAGTTTACTCCTATTTTTAATACAATAGCAGCAGTGGTCTCCAGTATGAATGAAAGCCTTCTGGGTTGTTCTCCGGGGGTTAAAGAGCACTGGTGCACCTGTTTGAGGACGTAGTAGTCAGCTAGAAGAGGAAATAGCTTCAGGCGACAGCACTTAAGAGTCTAATTTCCTGATATTTGGGCATCTCACCTCAGATTGGCTAACAGCAACACGACCACTGACTGTCTGCTTTACAACACTGATGTTTTCTCCACAAATATCATAAGCCTGAAGAAGTTCTGCCATGTGGTGAAGTTGCTAATGCTAATGGTTAGCTTCTACTACAGGGGTGGGCAATCCTGGTCCTCGAGGGCAGCTATCCAGCAGGATTTAGTCGTCTCTCTGCTCCGACACACCTGATTCCTGGATGAATCACCTGTTCAGCAGCTCATCAGGCTCTGCAGCAGCCTGTTAATCACCAGCAGATTCAACCCAGGTGTGTTTAAGCAAGTTTAAGCAGCCCTCAAGGACCAGGATTGTCCACTCCTGTTCTACTAGCAGAGACTCGCTCTACCATTTCATTGACACTAAGTCAAAATCAGCCTTCCCCGTCCCGAGTCAAGATGGGTGATCTGGCTCACATAGTTCTTAAATGAGGTGCATGAATGACTCCCAACTCAAGGCCATTCACAGATTTTACAGGTTTCATTAAAGAGCAAGTCACCCCCAAATCCACTTTTTTTTTGCTGATAAACTATAAAAATGAGTGTCTAATCATGCTGTAAACACACGTAGTCAATTCTTAGGCACTTTACTGCATCTTAGTAAAAATTTAAATATTCTGCCCAAAACTCAGTGGTGTAGCATTTGCTATCAGTAGCTTTAGCAGCAGAGAGTGAGGTAGTGCCAACTCAGCGACTTTGTGATGAACCTAGCTACATTTCTGAGGACCCTTAGCTACTTTCTTCTAGATATTTCCTGCAAATTAGCAACAAAATAGCCATTTTCGCTTCGAACCGTTATTTGAATGTTGTTTCAGCTGTCATCAACGATAAAACAGTTACAGATACAAAAGACACTAATGGCGCTTTAGCTCATATATATACTGTATATATATATATATATATATATATATATATATACACAGTATATATAGCCAGATACAAATAAATATATATGTCAGACGTCACTCGACAGACAGGGTTAAAAAAATATGATCGACCTTTTTCCCCATCACTTTCATTTTTATGTTTATGTATTATGTATTTTTGAAATAGTAATTAATAAACATTCAATACCATTACAATTTCCTTTGATTTAATTTTAAATAAATATTTAGAGTGCCCAGGTAGCACATAAACAATGCAATTTAACGGTTTTCTTATAGCAGGAACGTTTAACCAGAGCGCTCTCCTTCCTTCTGCTCTGCGTAAACCTGAACTGGCCACCTACTTGTGCGTAATCAAATGTCTATAGGGGAAAATATGGAAAAGCTTTAGCCATGAGGTTCACTTTTGCCTCAGACTGACTTTTTGCTGTTTTATGGTGTGGCTGAATCTGCGATCCGCTGCCACGCGGACTGGAATAACAAATGCTGCAGTAACATGAGTTGTAGTCAGGTTCATGAGGAGTCACTGGCTGGAGCGGACTCGATTTTAATACATCATCCCAAAATAGAAGCTAATATCTTAATTTGATTTTGAATGAAAAATTTTATAAAACCTCTTAAAAGTTTTGATCACAGAGGAGGCAGCGCTCATTTCTGCTTTCAGTCTGACGGCACAGCGCAGCATGCACTTGTTGAATCAGTGTGTGTGTGTGCATTTCCTACTGTGCGTGCATGCATGCGTGTGTGTGTGTGTGTGTGTGTGTGTGTGTGTGTGTGTGTGTGTGTGTGTGTGTGTGTGTGTGTGTGTGTGTGTGTGTGTGTGGCACAGCTCCATGAGCCGCTCCAGTCACCGCGTTTCGTTCTTGGCGCTATTTAAACCAATGTTGAAAAATTACTTCCACCCAGCCCAGATGTGCTCACATGTGCACCTGTGAGCCGTGGTTCCGCTGGAACGCGTGTGACCTCTGACAGACGCACTCTGAACTTCAGATCTTCAGCGTGCTGTTAATAGCCTGACACGTTTAGAATGCTGTCCCACAGTCAGTGAGCTACTATAATAATATAATAATGCTAAAATGCTCAGATGGGAATCATTTCTTGATTTATGTTGTTACATCCACAATGTTCTGTGTGTGAGATTTACAATGTCAGAACACCTGCATGAGACAGGGTGTTAATTACAATCTGCCAGAATGACTCACCACCTTCAGATTCCTCCAACATGTTAAAAATGATCAAATACGGAACATATCTTGCTGTTGGCAGCGTGCGCAGGTCAGAGCGCTGAAGCTCGGAGCGCATCATTATTATGAAGCTAGGGCGCATGAGGCGGACACACACACACACACACACACACACACACAAGCAAAATATACTTGTTTTCAATTGCATTTATTGGGCCCACTTACTTTTTCTTTGGCCCACCCACAAATGAGTTGCTGGCTACATTAATGGTGACATATGACAGACTTCTCTGAGCTCCGCAGCCATTACACTTTTCACCTCGCGCACCCCCTAGCGGCAGCTCGCGCGCACCACACTTAGGGAATCCCTGATCTAGAACCTTCTCAGACTTTGTGAGGTGTGGCTGTGTGCTCTCACCTCATTCCCCTTTCCTTGGGACATGCTGTCATTGGTCAGGTCATCATCAAAAGCACTGCTGGTCTTCACCTTCTTCTTGGACTTCTTCACCTCTTTCTCACTATCACTACTACTGTTGTTGTTGTCATCACCATCTTCCTTGTCATCGTTGTTGTCATCATCGTCATCGTCGTCGTCGTCATCATCATCATCATTGTCATCGTCCTCATCGTCGTCGTTGTCGTCACTGGCACTGCCTCCTTCTTCCTCCTCTGTGCCGCCTTTCTGAGCAGCTGCTTTTCCTTTCTTCTTCTCTGCCGTAGGCCTCCAGTCGTTATCGTCTTCACTGTCATAGTCGTCCATCTCATTCAGCTCCTCCATGGTTGTAAAGTCCAAAAGGGGACGGTTCCTTCTGAAATTCCATTTCTTGGGCTCAGTCGGCGACTCCTCTGCATTCCCACTGCCAGCTCCGGATGCTGAGGTAGATTCAGGTTCACCAGCTTCAGCGGGGCTGGGTTCTGCCACCTTCTTGCTCGTCCTTCTACGTTTGGACTGGGTGACAGAGGGTGTGTCTTTGGTGGAGCTATCTGAGGATGGTTTGACCTTCTCCTCATCCTCAGTTAGGTTGTCTTCAGCAGCCAGGTCTTTGGCCCCCTCCTCCTGACCATCATCAACAGAAGCAGCATTGTCCGATTCATTTTCTGAGCCTGCAGCACTGACCTTAGAGCCCTCCTCATCACTGCCATTGCCGGTACCATCAGACCCTATCAGAACATAGAACACAAATGGGTTTGAAACACTTCCTTTAGTGTTGGTCTGTTGTTCCCACAGGTAGAAACAGAGACCACCAGCCTTGTGAACAAGACACAACTCTTGCTTTGCAAAGTTTGGTTAGGGTTTACCTGATGCATCTCCAACTTCAAAGTCACTGTCATCAGAACTGTCATAGTCCAAGGCATCAAGGAGAGAGGCAGCAAGTGGCTTCACCTGCCGTCTCTTCAAGCTACGGTCCACTAACAGAAAAAAACAAGTTTGAGTAGGCTGTCGTGAGCACGCTGGGACATTTAGATGCAGCAGTTCACAACAGAACCTTCTTAAACTACCCAAAAACAATTTATTACAAAAGGATCATAATTTTATGTAAAAATTCTAGCAACACTTGTTCAAAACTATTTTAAATGAAAGTCCATCCATGTCAGAATTTTTTAGACGTAGGTCATCTTTTGAATAGAAATTATGGCATTGTCTTCCTTTTGGTTAAGTCACAGATTCAGTTAGCATTCTGACTGAGTTGGAGAGTGATTTCCACTCTGTACCACAGAAAGTCACAAAGATTTTAAATGTAGAAAAACGTTTTTTCCAACTGTCTTTCCTCACTGTATCAAAAATGATCCAAACCTTGACATGAAAACTAAAGTATTTCCCGAGCCAGGATTTTAGGTGTCCAGTTACGACCCCATTCACTTATTACGGAGTTTCATCAAATTCCATCAATGTCTTCTGCTTTTTTTTTTTTTTTTTTTTTTGCAAATGAACAAAGATAAAAGGTCCTGGTCGAAGAGGCCCATGTCCAGTGTAGTACACACCCTGATACCAAACAGCACTGTGATAACCGTGCCTTTAGACACGCAGACTGACTGATAACCAGAATAACCTGACCTGTTGGCTTTATTAATTTATGGTGACCCGAAATTTTAAAGCAACGTCTGGTTTTCATCACCCTTTTTTTTAAATTATTATTATTCAGTACTTTTGTTAGCTACAAATCACTTCTTATCAGGTTTTACTGTCGATAAAGGATCTGAACTTCTGCACATTAAGTTAGTAAGTACATGTAAGTACTTTACTTACTTACATTAGCTGTCCCCACAGCGTCCCCGATTAGCCACTAGCACACCGCTAGAAATCTGAATGGGATTACATAAATGCTAAGCACCAGCTGCTCTGCCCTAAATGTAACCACACAGCCCTAAGTATCCGTGTTCAGCACCACACCATCAACAAAGCATCAGTTACAGTCTTAGCCAGTCGCATAGATTCTTGTTCTCTAAGGTAGCTAACTGTTGTTAGCGCTAGCTAAACTGATTCACAAAAAACTGCGGGGCAGTTTTATTAACAATTAAACCACTTCAAGCAGACCCGTGTATGATAACAGAGCCTTACATGATAGGATGGGGTTACATCACCGGTGAAAGAAACGTATAAAGGTAGACTTTAAACTACATGCTAACACCAAACGCTAATCAAAAGGCTAACACTGCTTTCAACTTCTAACATTAACTTTAGCTTGCTAGCTAGTTAAAACAACGCTTTGTATAAACAACGTGATCGAAATAAGAAGAATGTAAACTCGAAATGAAACAAAAACTCACTGTGAACTCGTTTATTTACAGGACGAGTGAGAACCAAAACAGCATGTTACATCTGGACAATAAGAGCACGGTGGTGACGTAGTTACGTCTGGATGTTGTTTCTATGGAGACAGTAAACCCGATACATCATGGGCCATTTATGCAGCCAACAGACAGATCACTGCAGCACAGATGTACTGATCCAAAGCTTTTGCTCAAGTTTATTTACTTTTTGTTTGTTTTTTTTAAACCTAGAAACGTTTAAAGTGAAGTGACCCGGAAGTATTTATTTGTTGAACTCATTTTTTTTCACAAAAACTTTATTAAACAGATTGCAGGTAAAACAACAAATGAAGAATATTACATTTACATCAACAAACAACCAGGAGTGTTCATATATATACAAATGTATGCCCACGTTCAAACATATGCTGTTATTTTGTTAAATTTGCATGTATGAATATAAAACTCTCATCAGTTCAGATAAAAGGATAAACTATGACCAGATTTTTTTAGCAGTTCAAGAATAGAGCAGATGTTATCCAATTACCACAAAATGTTGGCAAGAATTGATGTTTCATTCAATAACGTAAAAAATTAAGTAATATTCAACAGTATAGTGTAAAATAAAAAGATGGATTTTCACTCTGCAGTTCTACTATTTATTTATGCAAATCTCTATTGGGTATGAACTAAACTGTGTGATTCAAACCTGCAAATAATTGTGTGACAGAATAGTCGTTACTTTTCTCATTAAAGCCCAATAAAAACCACTTAGGCACTGAAGCTCATTTTCCTATCTGTGGCAACTCAAAGGGGCCACTTTGGTAATGATGTATTTTATATCTGATACAAACACAGACCCACTGTCAGCAGGTGAGGGGTGACACCTGGTCAGGTCACAGTCCATGAGGCCAACACAAGATCTGTCAGGCTTTTCAAATCCTAGCATTTCACCATCTAAAAGTGTGCATTCACTTGTTATTCCAGCACATTTGCTGTGGTCTCTAGTATATAGTCAACCTCTGTAGAAAAAAGCTCTGGCGTTCCTGTTTCAGGAAGTAGAAGTTAGCTGTGGGTGCAGAAAACAGCAGGATTTGGAATCATTATTCTTCCTGATGTTTGGACATCTTGCATCGGATTGGCAATGCAACTCTAACACTAGGCATGTTTCCATTACCAGAACTCCAGGGTAGTTCCTGGGATGGGGAACTTGACCAGGAGATAGGATGTCCAGATCTTCTCAGCTGTTGTGTCTCTATTGAAATCCAGCCCTTTCTTTTTTTTTTTCTTTTTTTTTTTTTACCGTGTCCTGTCTGGCTGTGAAGCAAGCAGAATTGATGTCTGAATGCTGGTGACAAGCCTTACAGATTTATTCTCAGGTGGAGCATCAAAGCGTTTGCTTTTAATGTCACGCCTGATAATTAAAACTTTATTGTTATTGTTGTTGAATGCTTTGTAATTCCGACCAGACACGGAGACAGAGGTGAAAGAGAAAGGAAGAGAAAAGGTGGAGAGAGGGGGGGGGGGGGGGTTTCCACAAAAATAAACAATAATGAACAAGAGTCTGCTTCTAGACCTGCAGAAAAAAGACAAAGAAAAAACAAAGGGACACAAAAATGGGACACAACAACAATACAACAAGATCTACCTATCACTGCGTCAACTTGATGAAAAGAAAAAAATATATATATATATGTATATATATATATATATATATAATCAACATTGCTTAACTGAAGAATCACGATAATAAATCACAACGCATTAAGTGCCCACCATAGTCTTAAGACATGTGTTTAACGTGCCCAAGCCCATACTTATGAGAGCACCATGTGAGCACCTGTGTGTGTACACGCGCTTGTTTATTTAAGGTTTCTCTGTAGGAGCGTCCAACAGAGAGTGTGAGGGACCACAGATCTGCCCCCCAAAGATGCGCAGGAGACGGGGGGAGCTCCAAGTCCCAGAGATCCAGGCGCTGTCCCAGAACGCAGGAACCCCAAGGAGACTGCAACCAGGAAGGCCCCCGCCCCCCTCGAGAGGCACAGAGGATCGCCCCGGGGGGCCACAACCAGCAGCCGGCAGAGTCCCCGGAGATATCAGCGGCAAGCCCACAGGCCCGCCCGCAGCCTCCCACCCCCTAGCCGGCCGAGCCCGGGACCCAGCGACCCGGGACCCAGGGGCGACCACCCCCGCCGGGGACCCAGCAGAGCCCAGGGACCCAGACCCCACCAGGCAGCCACCGGGATCTATCAGGCAGATGCCAAAATCTTAAACCCCCAGACCCGGTTGCCACGAACACTCAGGCAGACCAAGGCACAAGCCCCCACACCAGGTGTGGCAGGGGGAGGGGGGACAAAGATCTATATCATCAAGAGAAGTTCCAGGAGAGGGGAGGACCCAAAGGCCCCACCTGACATATACAGTCATACACAAACACAGTCACACGCTCCCTCCCTCATGCTCACACATGCACATACAACCCAAGACTTACAAAAATGCATGCCGGACACCCACTCATGCTCCCCATACACACCCTATTCACTCTGGTCCCGGTACTGCTGCACATGGGGTACAACCATCACTGGTAACCAGAGTTTGACCCTTTCTGCTGGGGTGCTGATAAGCAGGCTCCCCCCGCCCAACGCTGAGCACAGCAACCCACCACCCCAGACCCCAACCAGACGGCCAGATCTCCCTCCTAGCCTCCAGCCCCAGGAAGCCTAGCATCCAGCCCTTTCAGAACTTGCACAGATGTCAGCGTATCACGGCTGCTTTGGCAGTGAGTAATGTTGATGATCAGCCCCAAAAAGTGCCCAAAGTAACATTAATAATATTAAAAGCATTTATTTTATAGAAGTATATCATAATTTAATCCATTCAGAGGACAAGGGCAGCTGTGAGTTTTGTGAGACAAGGTTAACTAAGTGTGTGGGGGAATTCCCCATTTTTTCCAACAGCTGTGGGGGAATTCTACTCGGGAGCAGGGGCGGCGTTAGGCCCCGCTACTTGGGCTCAAGCCCCGAATGATGAGACTGGTGTTGACTCCGGTTTGTGAGTCTCATTTGAAAATATTTGTTGTGCTGCTGGTTTGCCTAAAGTTAGCTTACTATCAGGTAAAGTTGTTGGAGAAAGAAAGGGAATATTTACTATCATCTCACACTAAACACTAACAGGAACAATATTCTGCCCTGAATATGCTTAATATGTTGCTTCAGATTAAAAATTATGTGGTACAAGACAAATATATATGATGTTGACTAGTGCATGTCACGTGTGTGTGTGTGCGCGCGCACGTGCACGTGTGTAGCCCCGGATCTTCTTCAGTCCTAAGTCTGCCCCTGCTCGGGAGTTAGATTTTAAATGCGATAGGTGCTTTTTGTTTGTTTTTGTTTTGCTTCCATTCTGCTTCACCAGCTACTCTTCTAATTTTACTGCTGCCGGTTGTTTTGGACATCTGCTGATGTCATTTCCTATTGAGTCACAACCAGTCAGCGTGAGTTAACCGGAGGTTCCGCTCAGCTACTCCAATCGAGCCATTTGGAGTTCCTACTCCAGAGCAGGTACTCAGAAGGTTCCTGAAAACGGCCCGAAAAACGACCGTTCGGACAGCTCAGTCAGGTGGTGACACGCTCATGTCGGGAGGTTCCTGTAATTCTACCCTGAAGTTCTTGTTGTGGAAACAAGCCTACTGATTCTGTTTGTTCTGCAACACTGATATTTTATCTCCACAAATAACACAAGCCTGGAGGTGTTCTGCTGTGTGGTGGAGTTGCTAATGCTAACAGTTAGCTTCTACGAGGCAAGACATGCTCTGCTCTTTCCTGCTGTTTCCAAATCAACAACAGCCTTGGGCAACACGTGTGGTTGAGTCCATGAATGTTCATGTACAGAGTGTCTTAGATCTGTGTGGCTTTACCCGACCTAATCCTTTACCTTGTCCTGTTTTTTTTTTTTTAGTGGCTAATGCAGGACATAGGGATAGAAAACTATTTTTACATAGCAGCCATATCAGCGGTACCGATCGTTTTTCAAAAAGAACAAATTTCATGTGTTTCTCAGTGAGCCTCATCTTTAAATCCTGTTAAATCTTCCATTCTTTAATCAGTCAGTTCTAATTATGTGGTCACTTTTTTCCCATAAGGATGCAGATGCAAAAATTAGTACTTTGGCTTGTTTTCAAACTTTGTTCCTGTTGTCATCCTTTGACTTTGCCAGTTTGGCAAATAAGCAACGATTAAAATAAATGAGCCTAGATTGATGCTGATAGTTGGAACAGGGAAGACTGATGGGCCAAGCGAGCAAAAGGGATGATTACAACTGTCCTCGCTCTATGACAAATGGCCTTGTATTGTTTGGACTGTAAGTATTTTTTTTAATCACTTTGCATCACAACACTCCGGAAATATCACAGCAGCCATCTTTTACATCATGGCTATCAACACGGTCATCGTTTTCCATCAGGCCCCGTTTAGAGCAGCTCAGAGCCGTCACTCCGCAGACCTGGTGTCAGAAATTAAATTACAGCTCGTCAAAAAGATTCTGCAGAAGCTCATCAGGGAGGCCGCTCCATCTACAATTTCATAGTAAGATATAAGATTACACATTTTTATTGTCATAAAAAAAATCTTTAAATGAACGCATGAATCCAAACGTGCATTAGCACAACTATTAAATAATAATCTGACTGTTAATAAAATTGTTTTATTATCTGATTGTTTATTTATTTATTTAACTTTTGTTTTTCAGGTGGATAAACTGCTTAAGATGGGACATCAAACAAACAAACACACAAATTCATCATTATGCAGTTGAAGAAAAAGCTGGTACAGTTTGGCTTCACATAAACACAAACCGTGCAACTTCATTGACGAAGTGATGAGATGGACCTTAATTCAGTGGGTAACGTATTCCAGTCCTGTGGAGCTTTTTGCTAAAGGTGAATTTCCCCACCTCCTTTTCACACCGAGGAACAACAAATGATGGTTAGACGAGCAGGATACAAGGAATCAATGGGAACCAACAAAACTTTCAGATAAGATGGAAAATTCAAATAGATACATTTACAAATAAATATTAAACAGAGTCAATAAAGGTTTTTATAAGCTCCAGCTACTTTAACATGTCTTTGTGGACCGTTTGTCCTCTCATGCAAGAGTCCTTAACCACGGGATTCATCTTTTCATCCTGATATTAGTCAAAACTAAACAGGCCAACAGTAAGTGAA